TGAATTTTAATTTTAAGAAACTCATGTGTTCTCTATCTTGATCCAGAAAGAATGATTCCTACCTTTCTATTGAGTCATGTTCCCACTGAGCTAATGACTATTGTCCTGATGTTATTTAGATTATATAGTTCAGTATTCAGAATGTACTTTTTTTGAGTTTGAAGTTCCCTGCTATGTCTTGGAGGTTATCAAGACAGATAATGTGATTTCGTGCTTCTAAGTATCTCACAATGTCATAGGAGAGATAAGAATAACATACTAAAACAGTTAAAATATAAGAAAATGTAGAATGAAAATTACCTGTAGGTGGAACACAAAATAATGTTGGGTAAAAGGTTCTCAAATTATTTTCTTTCTATCTGTTACAGAGAGGCTAGGGAAGAAGCTCAATGTATCAGCTAGGCTTTATAACATGGAAGCAAAAGAAATTCCTTTGTGTGGTTTAAGCAAAGAGAGTCATTGAAAGTATATTGGGGCTGCAGAATTACAAGGAAAGCCATAGAACCAGGTTTGGTAAACAATCAGGCAAGATCTTGTTGCAGGGATAAGAATTGTGAGGAATTTGAGAGAGGATTTATGCCACCTCCATAAACATTGGCCTCTACAGCCTTCACTGTTAACTCCCTGACTGCTGCAGCCTCTGGAATAACAAATGCTGCTGATGCAAATAAATTATACACAGTATCTGATTCTTACCACTATTAGCTCCTAATTGATCCAATTGAACCGACTTCTAGTATCCTACCTGCAGAGGAAGCTGGGAAAATAAGTATCTGGTATTTTGGTTTTTATATTGGGCATTTCTCTAAATCTAGACTGTATTATTAGAAGCTGGGTACTGACAATAAAAAAAAAGTTAGCAGATGCTTTCATATGTGAGAAAAAGTAAATTCTTCACTACCCCTTGAGAAACTTGCAATTTAGATGATGAAATAGGCTTCACAAATTTATAATTCAATCAACATTTTGTCTCTATTGTGTTAAGGGATGCTCATGTTCTAAATAAGAGAAACATGATTTTTCCTAAATTAACTTCCTCTTCCTAGAAGGGGAAAAGAAGAGAAGAATCCATGGACAGAGTTAACTCTAGTCCATTCTTAAATGCAATAAATCACATTTTTTTATTCTTGTTTGAGTAGTAACTGTTAGGCAGCCATATTTGGAACAGAATTTGATATATTGTTCCTGTCCAATAAATATTTTTAATAATGAGTGTTTCTGGAGGGATAACATCCAAGAATATTCCAGCAGATGGTAAAACATTTTTGCACATTAAATTTCTGCCAAAACAACCCTTTATCTTGCTTGTGAGTGGTGGAAAATCAAACAGAAAATTAGAGACAGCTAGACAAAGCATGAGCTGGCCTAGTCTGGCCTGAGCTGTGGAGGAGGTATATTCATTTGCCATGTTTGGATTAGCTGTGTCTTTCCTTTAGCTTTCATCAGGAAGGAAGAGAGAGAGAAAATGATAGTACATAGAGTGCACCCTGGATTGTCTCTTGAGTTCACAGAACCACTGGGAAAAATAGCAACAATCTCTTATTTACAATAAACTTGTTCCTTGCATAATGAAATAATATCAAGGAATTTCTAACATGAGTCAACTCCCATGAAGAAGCAGTCAGGTTCTATTCTAATTGGATACATCCTCAATTTGCTAAGAAGACAATTATGGTACAAAGAGTTTGAATCATTTAGTGAAACTAAATAGACCACCAGTCCAGTTCATGTCTTAGTTGTGTTCTAGAAAGCATATCCTGTTCAGAAACTTCTGACAGATGCTGTGGGACATAGAAAGATGGGAAAGGTCCACTATTCTGTAGGATGAAGTCTGGTGAGATTCCACAAAATAGTTTAGTTTGTTCACATTTTATTCAAGATGATGGTGAAAGCTGTTCAGCAAGTCAGTACAAGCAGATGTTCTATTCAAGTAATATGTCCCCTAAATATACTAGATAGGGTGGTAACATTTGGGGGGAGGTGTGCAAATGAGCATGTGAATATTCATGAGTGTGTGTATGCATATATCATATTGAAATAATCCTGCCATGGTAAGCCTAACACTCTCCTACACACAAGGAAACATGCATTATTTCCACACTGGCAAAGAAAAGGAGCCTTCTTCCATGTTGGTCCTGTTACTCCTTTTTTTATTTTGAGTCAGCAGTTTCTGTGGACTTTTTTGACATCCACTTAAAAGAAGGAAGTTGAGTGAGAGATTGATTCCTACTTAATGCCATCCTAGCAACCTCATGACCTCTGAACTTACAACTCCCATTTTTGTACAAGAAGACTTTCCCTCAGTACTCAGTACACTTTGGGATATTCATCTTTCTTTTTATGTATATCCTCTACTCCTTCACAGTTGCCCTCTCTGATTTCTAATCACAATCACTGGATAGACGAAGATTTATATTTCTGTAGAATTTTTGCTCAAAATCAACAACTTATTATCTATGAGCATATTGCCTCTTGACATTTTTTTTTTAACCTCTTGACTTCTAAACCCACTGTGTGGACCTTTCCTAACTGATTTATTTATCAAAAAAACAGGCATAATGGTTCATGCTCCACTCACCTTTTAGGACTATTCTGTTAAGAAAAATGTCTGTGAAACTACATTTGAAATTGTAAGGTGCCGTTTCATCTAAGTTTCTCTCAAATAGTTGACATCAAGATTGTAGGCATTTTGGGCAACTAAAAAGTGGTCAGGACTAGAGAATCTGCTGTGCTTATTGACAAAATGAGTGACAGGGAAACAATGTGTATATTTAATTTGAGTCCATTTCTCCAAATGAAGGAGACTAATTTCATCATTAGCTTCTCCAAGAGTCACTGACTCTGAGAATAATTAAGATTTACCCTTATCGCTGTTTCCTAAACTAAACTCCAATGCCTTGAAGGCAGGGCTACATGTTATGTATTTTGTGGCCATCTGCTAATTTTTTTGCAGACATTAGCTGCCTCTTGAATTCCCACAAGTCACTGTAGAGCAAGATGAAAGAACTAGAAGAGCTAGATGTCACTATAACTGGCTCAGGCCTTTCCCTCCCTTCTCCAAATTATGTACTTCCATTATGTAACCACTATTATTCTTTGCATTAAGGCTTAATAATGTTCTTAAAATATCCTTCTTTAAAATCACACAGTTGAGGGGGATTATTAATATCTGAAGTGGGTTTTCATCTGAAAAGAAAGAAAATCAAACCTTGATATGACCCAGAGGAACCCATGGCAACTACTCCAAAGATGCAAATGACTTACAAGCACAACAGTCACCTAGGTCTATGTGCCTGACTTCAGCCTGTTTGGGAGCATATCAAAGGATGCTCAGTGTGCTATACTTCCTCACATTCTCTCCCAAGCACCTTTGTAAGTCCCATTTGGGTCATCATTTTCATCTTCTCATATTTTGACAATTTTTCTCTGTCTTTTAACAGTCTCATTGATTTCACTAATGAATAGAGTGCTGAAATTTTGCTAATTTGCAAACCTGCAGTTTCATGGCCAAGTGGCTGCTATCTTTTCCCAGATGGTATTCCCAGAATTGAAAGTGCCCACATACACAGTCCTCACAGGAAGGAAATGCATTCATGGATGCAAAATGAAACTGCGAGTTTATGGAGTGTCATTTCATATCTAGGCAGCCACATTGTGCCTGGGTCTTTGGTTCAAACAATTAGCAGCATTGTTGCTCTGACAAAAAAATATAAGTCAATTTCATGAACTTTTAGTCTTTCACAGCAGGCGTCTCTTTTTCCTTAATGATGAAATATATCCAATGCAGAATTCACAGAACTGTCTTTAGAATTTTGAGATATAGGAGTGGAGAATACTCATTCAGTAACAGTGTGCATGGAAAGAGTAATGAAACCTGAATTCCATTGCTTTGACATTTATTTCAGTTGTCTATTGCTGTATAGTAAAGCACTATAAAACTTAGCAGCTTAAAAATCATATCCATTACGTTTTTTCACAATCTTGTGACCCGGGTTGTGCTCAGTTGGGGGTTCTTCTGTTAGTCATTATCACCAGGCTCACTTATCTGACAGCATTCAGCATTCAGCTGGCAGACTAGTTGTTCTGGACTCAGTCAGGACTCTGGGATGCTCAGTTTCTCTCTTTCTCTATGAGGCCTTTTTCAAGTGGCCTTTTACATGATCTCTCCATGCAGGTAACCTTTCCAGCAGAGTAGTCAGACTTCTTTCATGATATCTCAGGCTTTCAAAAGCACAGAGTAAAAGATGTTGAGCCTTCCTAAGAGTTAGACCCAGAACCAGCACATCACCAATCCCACTATATTCTCTTTGCTCGGGTACTCTATTCATTAGTTGTTATCAAGGAGACTGTTAAAAGACAGAGAAAAATTGTCAAAATATGAGAAGATGAAAATGATGACCCAAATGGGACTTACAAAGGTGCTTGGGAGAGAATGTGAGGAAGTATAGCACACCAAGCATTCTCTTATGCAGCCAAACAGGCTGAAGTCAGGCACATAGACCTAGGTGACTATTGTGCTTGTAAGTCATTTGCATCTTTGGAGTAGTTGTCATGGGCTCCTCTGGGTCATTTCTTGGTTTCATTTTCTTCCTTTTCAGATTAAAACCACTGCTAATTGTTTGAACCAGACAATCCCACTGCATTCTCTTGGCTCCGGCCAACACTCATCCAGATACAAGGGTGGGAACTCATAAGGTATGAATACCAAGAGGTTTTTACTGATTTGGAATTCCTAATGCAATAAAAAGGCACAACACCATAGCAATAATTGCTCCCCATCCCACAGTTTGTGTATTTGTGTATGCATATACATGTGTGTGTGTGTTTGTGTGTGTGCGATCTTGCAATCTTCAGCAAACTGGGATGGTTTCTAATGGCTGCTATATAATGAATATTAATATCTATGACTTTCAGAGAGATAAGAAAAGACTGACCCCAAAGACAAGAAAACTGAATTATAGGTCTCATTTTGCCTTACTATATAATTTTTTTGGTTTCAGATATATTCATTTGAAAAACAGGAATAATGATGCATTATCCATGTATCAAAAGATTATTATATTAAGAAAACATCTGTGAAATCTCATTTCAAAGTGTAAGTCACCATATAAATGTAAGTTGCTATTAGAGCAGTTGATGGATTTCATGATTGTCATTTTGTGTTTTGTTTCTAGGCCTCTCTGATTTTTGAATTATGCTTGTAATTTTGGATGAGTATTCTCATAGCTAACTTTTAGTGACACCAACATATTAATGGTTCTCTAGTTATTATATTTAGTTTCTTTTTTTAGCAACCAATTTGGATAATGGCTTTAAAACCACAATAGAATATTTGGCTATTACGTTACTCCTGGATTGATTTTACTGATAAACCTTGTATACTGTGATTAAATAATTTTTCATGCCCTCTCCCTAATAGTGTAAAATTATGATAATTTCCTGTCCAAAGTATTAGAGAATATTCATTAATACTTTAGTGATTTATAGATGATTCATATTTATTATCTTTCCACTGTTCAAACTTGTAGTATTTAACAATTATCATTAAAAGTGAGAATGACAGAATGATAGTGGGATCCATCGTATTAAATCAGACCTTTCTCTGGCTTGACATTTTGTCCCACAGACTCCTCAAAGTGGGAAAAGAAGGGAGTACAGAGGCCAACCTTCAATGTGGGCAGCTTGAAAAATTTGACCATTGTCACCATCTGCTGCTGGGAGACCGGATAAGGATGGGAGAAGAGTTGGTAGCCCATGTGCACACATCCACTGACAGCTAGCTGGGCAGCAGTTCCAGTTGGAATCATGTCATGTTGTGTGTTATCCCTGCTGGGAACTGCAGAAGGCACTATTTGATGCTTCCTCCTGTTGTATATTTCTGGAGTGCCTACTAGTATGAGTTGCTAGCATCAGTTTTACCAAAGTGGAAAATTTTCAGCCTAATGTCCTTCTTAAATTTGTGTTGAATTATACATGTATTTCAAGTGGCAACATCTAAAGACATCAAGTTTGCAACAATATGAAGACATGGAAGAAATAATTTTGTTTTGATTCATTTTTGTTTCTTTCTTCCCTACCTCTTCCTTCTCTTCTTTCCTTCATCCCTACCTCTATTTTTTTTCTGTCTCTCTTATGTTAGGTGGAAGGTAGGTGGTAAAGAAGTAGGGGGAAAGAGAAAATGAAAGACATACATTCACATTACATCTTTTAAAGTATTTTACTCCTTAAAATCAATATTTTGACTGAAGAATATAAACTATATAAATTCAAGAAACTGATTTGCTTGTAAAATCATTAAGTTTGCTACACTATATATGGAAATATTGTTTATTAATAATAAACAAATACAAAGACTGCATTTATAATACATGATATCACTTAGTCCTTATAATGAGATGAGAAAAACAAGAAAGAGAGACCAAGTGATCTCCAAGGTCTCACAGCCTGCCAGGGGCAGAGCTAGAATTCAAACTCAGTTGAATTCCCAACCCCATGAGATCCTTTTTGAGATGATCTTGTAGGACACGAGAAACTCTGTCTCGATATTTTCTCTTTAAATGTAGACAAATTATATATTCAGCCTATCATTTATTGAATTTAGTATATTATAGAATTTGTCAAAAAATGGAATCCACTTAATATTAAGGGATCTTACACACTTTTAAAAGTTCCTTCCTTCCTTCCTTCCTTCCTTCCTTATTTTCCTTCCTTTCTGCAAGGGATGGAACCCAGGGTCTTGTGCATGCTAGGCATAAACAAATTATTGTGACATACTTCCTGATATCCTATGGGGGCATCTGAAATTTGGTTACAGTACACACTTTCTGAAAAGGAACACAAGAAAACCAACCATAATTCCCTGGATGTTGCTATCAAGAATTTCTTTTTTTTAATATATTTTTATTTATTTATTATTAGTTGTTCAAAACATTACAAAGCTCTTGACATATCATATTTCATACATTTGATTCAAGTGGATTATGAACTCCCATTTTTTACCCCATATACAGATTGCAGAATCACATCGGTTACACATCCACATTTTTACATACTGCCATACTAGTGTCTGTTGTATTCTGCTGCCCTTCCTATTCTCTACTATCCCCTCTCCCAGGAATTTCTTTTCAATCCTTTTCAGAGCATCACCAACCTCTGTTGCTTTTTCTGAAATTTGTGTACTCACTTTAACCCCATTGCCATTTTATTTTGTATCTTGATTAAATGGAAGACATATCCAAACATGGACACCTATTTCCCACATGCTAGAAGAAATAGTCACATCAAAAAAGGAATACTGGAAAAGGAAGAGCAGTTAAATTGTGTATGGCATTTGACCAAAAATGTTAAGACTGAAAACCTAGCCTCGTGGTTGGACAGGAAACATGGGATGATCTGTGCACAAAGCTGTATGGCTGCTTATCCATACTCAGTCTGAAAGAACTGTGTTCCAGTTCTGGTTTATAAGATGCAAGAGGACAAATGAACTTCCCCAAAGTAGTTTTATCTATAATGAGATTATACAAAACTTGTTTCTTTATAGAGTTCTTCCAAGGAGTTAACAAGTCAATATATAGGAAAAGCTTAACCAAGTGTTGGCTTTATTTTTCCTAATTCCTCAAAATTCAACAACTGAATTTTTGTAGGATTCTTTTTTCCTAGTTGAATCATCCTCATATTTTATAAGTGTCCAAATAATAGAAATCAAATTCATTCAAAATAATCTGAAAGTTTTATATTGCTAAAATGTGTTGATTTTTGAGAGCAAGCAAAACATGTTGTTAACCCATTTCCATATTTCTTTTCATTAAGTTTCTTCCTCAAATTTACAGAACACTTGTACATATATATGTATACATATATTTATTCAAATTTATCTCATCCACTGACTCAAATCTAAAGTAAGTATTACCTCATGATTTATTTATTTCGGTAGGTTTTTACCCTAAAACTCTTATATAGAAAAGATTTTTAGGTTGCCTAAAATAAATCATTCTATATTAAATTTATCATTGTCAGCACTTTTGTTCATATACCTTGAGATAATGATGTATCCTTAATATGTACATGAACTACATTTTCAGCTCAAATAATTAAGTCCATTTCCCATTAACTTTTTTCAGAGCCCAAGATTATCTAGATAGATTTTTTTTGTAATTTAACCTTAATTCTTACACTTGGCAAAGTTTTAAATGGTCCAATTTATTCTGTCATTCCCATTCAATGTGACCTTGTTAAAAGCCATTATTACATTTCCCCTTCATTTCATTTAGAGGACACTTGTCTATGCTTGGCCTGTAGTTGCATGCATGGCCCTGTGGGGACACTTATCCTGTTATGCATATGATCATTTCAACTCTTCTGTTTGCTAAGAACTATGCATAGAAATGGCTTGTAAAGTGAAAACTATTTTAAGAACCACATAAAGGTGGACTCTTTGTTTTGCAGATCAGTGATCAAGCACGTACACCCATGAGCTTTACTTTTCCTTGACAATGTGCAGATAGAGAGAAGAATTGAGCAGTGTGCTGCTCCCTGGGATTCCCTAGACACCCCTACCTGAACCTAGGCAAACAGCCAAGATGTCCACAAAATCTATATCTGGAATAAAAAAAAAAACACCCTCAGAATTTGCTCACCATTTCTTTACCTTGATTCTTTTCTACATTGTGTGATAGGCACAAGTGACACTTGTAGTAGAACATACATTCAATCCATACAAACTTTCTTAGGCCTTTGGGATATTACCCTATCACTTCCTGATGTAGTATTGCACTTGGCAATTTGCTAGAGCCAACACTCTTTAGGTCACCACAATAGGGCAAAATTTGGCTTATGGTAAGAGAAATATATACACATTACTGATATTGTCCCATCAATTTTTATGTTTTAGTCCTGTTTTTTCCTCAAAAAATGGTTGAAATTTATACTTTATTAAGGAATACAATCCCAGGGAAGCAATAAGGATGGAAATAATGGAAGTGAAAGAGGAAAAGAAGGAGGACAAATACAAAGTGGAGCGTTACTAGGCTGGCCTCCCAGAAAAACACAACTTAATCATATAGAAATGTGCAACCACTGTGTCTTAGAATGGTCTGTTGAGGGAGAAGGGAGAGCAATGGCTTTTCTCATCTTTAATCTCTTACTGGTCAACAGAATATTAACTTACTTGCACTTCTGGATTGTGTTCGCTGGGCCAAAGTCCTTTTGGGGATCTACTGGAAAAGCAGACTCTCTGTGAGCCTAGTCCAGCCAGTGTGCAGGTATTGGAGACTCTCATTATCAATCAGAACTGCACACAGGGGCTCTCTGACTGTGGCCACAGGGTTCATAAGGACTCAATAAGATGTCCCTTATTGAGCCAGGGCTTTAAATACCAGAGGAAAAGTGTGGAACTTCCTTGGGGCTACTCCTACTGGCAAGCAAGGGAAGCTTCTAAGGTCCCTGGGCACAAGATGAACCTAGTGGATGGGAGGTAACATACTACAGTACACTAGGTGTCATCTTCAGTACATGACAATGAACTAGACACAGCAAGGGAAAGCCATAAGGACAAGACTTAGGCCAAATAGGCAGTTCTCTAGAAGGTGTGGTTTGAACAGAAGCAATGAATCTATCACCTCAACCAATCTGCTCCTCCGGTAATCCTCTCAATTGAAAAGACCACTGTTTGAACCTATTCTTTGCTTAAGGCTCTGAGAGATTCTGTTAGGATGTAAGCATAATAGATAAAGAACATCTTATTGAGTTCATGACCCAGATTGTTTTATTTGTAGAGGCAAGCTCTGGGGGAATGAACATCAGAAAGGCTAACGTTTTATTGGGGCAAAAAGAAATTAAGGCTACTGTTTAAATTGCCCAACCCGATTTAATATTGCTCAAGAAGGATGTTTTAGGTAAGAAATTACTAATTGATGAGGCCTGGTAATTGGAGGGTTGACTGAAGTTATAGAGTTTGAAGTTTGGAGGGGGAAAGGGGATCCAATAAGAGGTTTAAAGACTGTTTTTCCTCTACCTTACCTTTGGTTTTGTTCATGTGATGGTCTTGTTTCCTTGGGACAAATGTCACATGGGTTGAACACTTTGTGAGGCTCTGGCTTTAGGCCTTCCTCTGCACATGCTTCTCTTAAACTTGATTAGTCAGGAGTTCCATTAATGGATCATTTGCCTTCTGTCACATCTGCCTTATGTTGGCCTCTCAAACACCGCCCAGCAAACCCTGTCAAAGTTTACCCTCTCATATATCTGCCACTGTGGAAAGCCAGGACCTAAGCCTAGAGAAATGCCAAACATCCCCAGAGTTTGAAATTCCTTTTAGCAGGAAAAATTCTGAAGGAGTCTCTCTCTTCAAACACCCCTTTTCCTACCCCCATCCCCATCCTAACACTCGCATATATATGTACACAAATATTTTTCACATAGCATTTAAGGAGAATAACACATTTTCATTGTTGGAAGTATTCTAGGAATTTTGGTGATCTAATTGTGGCCAATTTATTGTTTGTTTGTGGTTGCAAAATTTGAGGTTATGGTAAATGTAAATCTTCAGGCCTATCTCTATTGCCACCTCTAATGGTTTTCAGATTCCTCTACTGTATTCATAGATTCAAGTCAGGTATTTCCTCTTAAAAGCCTGCCCCTGATTCCCTATACTACTCACATTCTGCATTTAGAAGATGCTTCCCTATGACACCAAAATGTTTGATGTTATTAAAATCATGCTATTGATATTCATATCAATTATGTCTTGAGTGTTGTGCTTAGTATATCTATTAATAAAACCTGGATTTTCCTCTCTTTTTTGGTTTCTGAAAAAATAATTTATAGAGACACAAATAGTAATATTAAAGCTATCAACCATAAAAGCCAATACTTGACAGCAGCATGTAATTTAAGAGTTGCATACATATGAATTCAGATCTGGTGCTTTCTAAATGTACATATATTAGCTGCACACCAGAAATTTAGAATTTCAGAAGCAGCAAGCTGTCAAATGATAGAGCACTGATGTTTTGAAAATGAACTTT